TCAAGTTTCATAGCGTCATTAGGTCTCATTCCAATTAATCGAGTTGGGCTATCATTCATGTTATCAACAATTCTTCTCGTAAATCATTCACATTCCCTGCAACGTTCGCCGGTAGGTAAGAGAAACTTTACTGAATACTGATTTTTAAAAACTCTATATTCAAATAATCCAGCATAACGATTGACCATAACCAAGCTTGTATGTCTGAAACGTGCTATAATTCTTCGGATTTCAACATCATGCTCATCTATTAATAAAGTCACGTATCCCATAAACTCAGTGCCCTTATCGCATTGTAGTTTTCGAGGTCAGTTAAGGGGATTGTTAGAGTTATCATATATACTCTTAAAAGCTTCTGCAACTTCTTCACTACTTTTTGACGTTAAAAAAACAAAATCTTTATACCTAGTCGCACAGTCTATAACTAACAATACATAGTAAAAGATTAGACCATCGTCTAATAAATCTATATTCACATCATCATATGGTATTTCGATCAAATCACACTGATGTACAGTATTCAGTTTTGTGATTCTAGAATAGCTAACATAAGGTATATGCTTTAGTGAAGGACGAAAAATTTGATATATTGCCTGCCTATTAAGCCATTTTTTACATCAGTAAATGGAAAGCTGTAGTCAGCTTTTTTACAAGCATCCCATAATCCCTTAATATTTTGGTAAAGGCTTTCAGGTTGATAATACAGCTTCTGTAAGGCAAGATTTCGGTCAAGATCATGCGCATTTTGAGGATCGATATAAATCAAGGGTTCTCTCATTCCGAACCTCTCTTATAATAATGAAAAAAAGAATGATATTTCACAAACCTCATCCAAGGCAGAGAAAACATGTGAAGAGTATAAAGCCGAGTTGGAGGAGGATAACTATCATCTTTGAGATGCATTACAGACAGAGGTAGAAAATAATCGCCTGAATGAGAAACGGTTCAACCAACTGGAGCGTGAATATAGCCAGTATGAGCAGGAAATCCAAGATCTCAATAAAGACATAGAGTGTCTTAAGAATGCTTCAGAAGAAGAGATAGCGGAGCTAAGATCTGAAATCTTCAGGATAAAAAGTCAGCTATATAAAGCTAGGAAAGATGTGCAAGATAAGGAACAATATATCTCTACCTTAGAAGAGCGATTGGTAAAATCTGAGGAACAGGTAGAGAAATTGAGATGCCAGATCAAGGTCATTTCATCACGAAAAAATTCACCAGTACGAGGGAATTCTCCTGATCAATATAATTCCGATGATAATATGGCTACAATCACAGAGCTAGCAAATGCTATAGATAGTTATCTAGATAATCCAATAATAGATAAAGAAATCTTGGCCGGTCAAATAAAAAGAACAACAAGACAGATTCGTCGAAAAGAGAATAATTTGCATTAAGACTTAGCTCGTGAGCAACGGAGACGATATAATGCTGAGGCTGAAAGGGATAATGAAATAATATGAAGAAATCTTGCTGAAGGAGTAGAACAAAGAGTTATTGGTGACTTTCAAAAGTTGCGGACTAATGCTCAGAATCTGGCGAACATAAAGCAAACCCGTATTGGTGAATTATTACGAGAAAAGATAGCCCTTCGGCTTATAAATCGAAGGTGTAAAGCTGAGGCTGACTTAGCAGAATTCAACCGAGCCTGGGTATTTAATTGGTATCAAAAATGGAAGGCTCAGAAAATAATCTCTCGCCAGAATATTTTAAATTTACAGGAACAAATTTTAGCGCTACAGAATAATCCACCAAATCTAATAAACATAGCTTTACCTGCAGGGTTTGTAATGCCTGAATTATGTAGCTTCGAACAAGATCATAAAAAGTATGTAGATGATTTTATAGCATACATCAATTTAGCAAATATAAATAATGAAGCAAGAATTCGCAATATACTGGACCGATCAGTAAAGGGAGAAGTGCGAGAGTGGTATCGTAGAGAGTTTGATAATAAAAACTG